TCTTCTTGATTCCTAGCTATGAGGTGACTGCTTTTGTTCTGCCACAAGCTTCTGCCATAACATTCTGCCTTGCACAAGGCCAAACACAACAGAAACACTTAAGAAGAAAGGAGAGTGGGGCAGATGCCAGCCTGTCGCCCAAGGAGCAATAAGATGCTAGCAGACAGGTCACTTGGCAACATATAGATTAATAGAAATGGGTTGAATCTAGCTAACAAGAAGCCTGACCCACAGGTCATACAGTTTGTAAATAATATAGCCTCTGTGTGTTTACTTTTGACTAAGCAGCTGCCGGACTTGGGTGGGAGAGATCTGTCCTGACCTCTGGGCTGGGCTGGGCAGGACCGGAGAAACTTCTGGCTACAGTGGACAGCTTACCTTGTTCTTGATCTCAGCCAAAAACAAAAACAAAACACACACACACACACCTTTCCATATATTTGAATTTTCCTGTATTCTTTCTGCTAGTGATTTCTAGTTTCACTCCATTGTGGTTAGGACAGATACCATTCTATCCTGGAGAAAGCATCATGTGTGCTTGCAAACGGTTCTTTTGCTGAATGTTCTGCTGTATTTATCTGTTAGGCCCATTTGGTCTATAATGTCGCTGAAGTTTGCTGCTTTTTCAGTCTTCTGTTGGGCTGCTCTATCCATCATAGATCTGTTTCAATCCATTACTTCCTTCAGTTCTATTAATGTCTGCTTTACATGTCTGGATACATTAACAATGGGTACACATAGTCAGTCAGTCATCTCTTGATATCTATAGGTGACTGGATCCATGCTTCCTGTGTGGTCTGAATGACAATATTGCTCCAATGGCTCAGGCATTTGAACACTTGGTTCCCGCAGTGATGCTGCTTGGGGGAGGTTAGGAGGTGCAGCCTTGCTGGAGGAAGTACATTACTGGTGGCTTTGAGATCATACAGGCTTACCCTATACTCCTAGTCTGATCTTTCTGCTTCATGCTTGCTGTTAAAGATGTGACCTGTCAGTTTCCTGCTTCTGCCACCATACCTCCTTGCCATTATGGAATTTTGTCACTCTAGAACCATAAGCCCAAATAAACTCTTCCTTCTATAAGGTACCTTGGTCATGGTGTTTTATCATAGCAATGGAAAAGTAATTAATAACCCCCTTGAATACCCAAATCTGCTGACGCTCTAGTCCTTTATATGAAATTGCAACAGTATTTGCATAACCCATGCACGTCCTCCCATACACTTGAAACAGCCTCTTCTACGTGACTATTATACAATACCATTTAGGGAAGAATGATAAAAGGTCTACACATGTTTAAAGTTGAAACCATTTTCCCCTCAGGTATTTTTTTCTGTGGTTGGCTGAATCCATGGCTACAGATTCCATGGATACGCAGGCTGATCATGTATTTATAACTGTTTTGTCTTCCTGGCGTGCTGACCATTTTTTTAACACAGTATCATTTCCCCCCCTTTTTTTTTCACTTGACAGTTTTTAAGTCTCTTTTGTAGAAGTATGGTCAACCTGCTCTCTTGGTTATCATCTCTATTTAATACCTTTCCTTTTACCTTCAGCCAGTATGTATTCACAAACCCAGTACAGGCTCTTGTAGATAGCATAAATCCAGAGCCTGATTTAAAACCTTCCCAGTTACCCTGCATTTCTTCAGTTTAAGAGTTTATTCCATGCTGCATTTAAAGCATAACCAGTAAAGAGGAACTTTACTGCCACTTCTTCTTCTTTTTTTTTTTTTACTCTGAGACAGGGTTTCTCTGTGTAGTTTGGGTGCCTGTCCTGGATCTCGCTCTGTAGACCAGGCGGGCCTCAAACTCAAAAGAGATACGCCTGGCTCTGCCTCCTGGCTCCTGCCACTGTTTCTTGTTGTATAGCTATTTTGGTCCCTTGTTTCCTGCATTCCTTTATGCTTGAACTTTTTTTTTATACCAACATCTTTTTTTTTTTGTTTTCTTTTGCATATTCTCTATAGCAGTCTTCTCTAGCATAATCTTTTAGGCTGATAATAACTTTAACTGTATACATTCTACTTTCTTACATCCACCCCCTGTCGACTGACTTCACAAATTACAATGTTTTGTTGTTATGAACCCATTAGTACTTTTGAAGTTTTTGTTTTTTGTCTTTCAAACTCTATACTATTTACATATAACTACCATATTACAGAATTCTTTATGTTCATACAAATTCCCCCTAACATACAATGAAGTTTTTTATACCAATAAGCCCACTGTGAGCTGAAAATGTATTTGATACACCTAACCTCCAAAACACCAAAGCTTAGCAACACAGTACAATATAGAATGCCTATTGTTTACTTGTGGATTTGTGGCTGACTAGTAATTGTAGCTTGATGTTGCTACTCAGCATCATATTAGAAGAGTATTATCATCATATATTACTATCCTGACAAAAGATCAAAATTCAAAGTACAGTCTTTTAGTCTCAAGAGATGGCTCTGTGGGTTTAAGTGTTTACTTCTCAGTCTGATGACTTGAGTTTGATTCCTGGGTTCCATATAATATAGAGAGAATCCATTCCCACAAGCTGCTTCGACTTCCACGTGTGCATACAGAAACACAATAGACCCATGTGCACACGCAAATAAATGCAATTTTAATAATTAAAAGAAAAAAATATAGTTACTTAAAAATAGACTAGAATTTTATTTTATTTTATTTTTTTATTTTTTGGTTTTTCAAGACAGGGTTTCTCTGTGTAGCTTTTGCGCCTTTCCTGGGACTCACTTGGTAGCCCAGGCTGGCCTCGAACTCACAGAGATTCGGCTGCCTCTGCCTCCCGAGTGCTGAGATTAAAGGCGTGCGCCACCACCGCCCGGCTAGACTAGAATTTTATATGCATTTGTGTTGTTATTTAGTCTTTGTTCCCAAATACTGGGATTACAGGAACACATCTGGTTTCTCCTTTTTGTATATGTGTGTGCATTTTCATGTATGTGTAAAAGTATACATACGGATGTCAGATCAACCTGGGGTGTTGTTCCTCAGGAGCCATTTACCTTGGTTTTAAAGAAAGGGTTTCTTGCTGGGACTTGTACTCACTGATGAGAGTCAATTTCTGCCTCCCAAGTGCTGACATTGTGGTGTGAGCCACCATACCTAGAATTGAATGCAGGACCTCATACTAATTGTAGCAAGTACTTTACTGGTTGTGCTATCTTCCCAAGCCTTGCTTTTTTCTTCATTTTTAAAAATTTTTATTAATTTTTATTTTTTTAAAGATAGTGTCTCACTAGGTAGCCTTAGGTAGTCTGGAACTTGCTATGTAGAATAGGTTAGCCTGAAACTCATTAATCCTCCTGCCCCTGACTGGAATTAAGGGTGTGTGGTCCTTTTCGGTTTCTTCCAGCACTTTAAGCTACCAGACTTCCTTGTTTGCATGGTTTCTGCTGAAAATATCCACTGAATTTTATAGATGTTTTCACATAAGAAAAAAAAAAGGGGTGGGGTTCTTACAGTGTAGCCCTTGGCTGAACTGGAACTATGTAGATCGGGCTGGCCTTTAACTCACAGAGAGCTATCTATTTGCCTCTGCCTCCTGAGTGCTGGGATCAAAGATAAGGACCACCATATTTTGTTTGTTCTTTCTTTCTCCCTTTTTTAAATGTATATGAATATTTTGCCTGCATTTATGTCTGTGCACTGTGTGTATGTCTGGTGCTTAATGAGTTTAGAAGGGCATTGGATTACCTAGTATTGGGAGTTACAAATAGCTGTGAGCTGCCATGTAGGTGCTGGGAACTGAACACCTTCCCAGGAAATGTTCTTAACTGCTGAGCCCTCTCTCCAGGCTCATTTTTTAAAATTTGTATTTACTTCGTGTATGTATGTGGGCACATGTGCCACAGGATCATGTGCACAGAGATCAGAGGACAACTTGCTGTATGCTTATCAGCCAAGAAGGTCTTCCCGATGCTTTGCCTCTCCCTCACTCAGGATGCAATGCCTGCTCTGACTCACCTCATGACACCAGCCAACGTCCAGGGTGATGTTACTTCTTGGCTAGAACATTCCTTCACCCTTCACTTACTTTAGTTATGTTTTTATTTCTCTGTCTTAGCTCAGGCATCACCTGCTCAAGCGCTCCAGTGCCTGACATACCAGACACCCACAGAAACACCTTACTGTGTTTTCCTATTCCAAGAGGCCAGCACTGTACAGAAACTGCCTGAAGTAGGGACAACTTACAAAATGGCTACATCAACTTCAAGAATGCATACAGGTTTCACACAGAAATATTAATATTAAAACAATGAAGTAAAGTTTTAGTTCATTAGTATCTTCTTCCTTTTCCAACCTTTACCTTAGAGTTTTTTCACTGTTCCCAAAGTAAGGCAATACTCAACTCTGATCATGTAGTTTTATAAAATGGCCAAAAGCACATCTGTCTAGATGGAAGGCAATGTCTATTAGAACTCCTAAGTAATTTATAAATAGTTGGTAAACTTTAAGACATTCTTAGAGTAGAAGTCTTACTAAAGGACTTTCAGCAGTGAGGTGACTACACAGCTCTGGCCTCTCCTGAAATGACTGGTTATTATGAGAGAAGAATCAAGTGAAACTACCAGATATGACATAGATGATAACATGGTGCTTAGTTCTTCAATCTAAAATCTGAAAGTGGCAGGAAGTATATGTGTGTATATACTACATTTGAGCACAGAACAGGGAAAAGAGCAAGCAAGCAATATGACACAGCAGAAGAAAATTAAAACCCTTCACATTTTGTATCAGAGTACCTGTCTTTATAAAATGACATAGAAATGAGATCTTGAGCTTTGGAAATGGAATCCCAAAAGTATTCTCATCTCTAACCATGCTAACTACCATACAAAGCACTGATCATCACCTGCTTCATGATAAGGAACAGGCAAACTGTTCTCATGCATCAGTATGCAGGTAGAACATAAACTATACAGGTCATCAAATAGTGCAAAGTACCAAAATTCAAGCAATATGTTAGAAAAAAACTGTCTCCCTTACCTTTCGGCAGCGAGGATTCGGGCAGCTGAACCTCTTCACATCACTGTCCAACAGGGCAGGGAAGCTACATGAGGGGCACCTGGAATAAATAAATAGGAAAGGTAGCATCACTCAAGATGGTTAAAGTAGGCTTTGTGAGACTGTGCTACTAAGATAGACCATTAAGCAAGACAGACAGTGCGTTGTACTCCTTAGTTTTCATTATAACCTAGACTGAGCTTCTTCCTTTACTTGCACTTACCAGGGAATACAGGCACCTTCCCAGTGTCCAAATTTACTGTCAACCACATACCTCAAGCTTTCAAGGATTCTTTGTAACCATTACTTTTCTTCACATCCAGGGCACAATGATTCAACTACAGGTTGATTAGGTAGTAAGTAAGGAACATAAAGAGTCCATTGATAGATGTTTTCATTATAAAGCTTAATTAATTTCATTTCTCAGCAAGAAGTGCCAGAAAACAGACAAGGCAGCTATGACACAGATCTTGCCTGATCAAATGCTCAAGTAGACCCTACTTTGGGAAATCAGTTGACTTTTAGAACTCACCGGACAAGCTCATCAGCATAGGCTGCCACGACTTCTTCTTCAGCTTTCCGTTCATAGTATTTGTACAAAATGGTCTGAGGGAGCACTTTCTCCAGTTCACTCGTAGGGAAGGAACATGTGCAGCTGCCTTCCATACAGCTGAGTTCTGACTAGAATAAAGTAAGCAGGCAAGAAAAAGTTAACTAAGGATTCAGAATAACAAAAAGCTAAGGAAGTCAAACCCATCTTTCAAGAGAAGGGACAGTGGCAAGAGCAGATATGGGGATAGCAAAACCAGGAAGCATTAAGTAAGAGCATAAAGGCCTTTCTCATCCAGCAGGCCAAGCTACAATCTATAAAGATGGAACACCAATAGTTAAGGTGACATGGCTCAGTTGGCTAGAGGAGGCTGGTTACAGTGTCTGAAGTAGCTGCTTCCCTTGTAGGATCTGTAAAGCTGGAAAACCTCTTGGAATGGGAGGGGAGAGGTGATAACTAGGTAAGGAAGTGGGGAGGAAGTGGTTTGGGCTTCTATTCTGACTGTCTCTGAATGAAAATCAACAGAGACAGTAGAGTTCGAGTGTGGCCCTCATGAGTGTGGCCCAAAATCTGCACATGGAATCACAATGTCTCCAATTCCTTCTTTCCACTCAGTTCTAGGACGCTGGGATGGGGGCAATTTCATAGAATATGCCTTAAGCTGTCAAAGGAGGATCACAACATGAAACACTATTTAGGCACTCAAAGTCACCACTCAGCCTATACACCTGTAGTTCAGATAGCTTCCAAAGAGATCTTAAGAAAGGAAAAATGGCCGGGCGGTGGTGGCGCACTCCTTTAATCCCAGCACTCGGAAGGCAGAGCCAGGTGGATCTCTGTGAGTTCAAGGCCAGCCTGAGCTACCAAGTGAGTTCCAGGAAAGGCACAAAGCTACACAGAGAAACCCTGTCTCGAAAAAAAAAAAAAAAAAAAAAAAAAAAGAAGAAGAAAAAAAAAAGAAAGGTGGAGAGATGGCTCAGAGGTTAATAACACTGACTACTCTTCCAGCTTCCAGAGGTCCTGAGTTCAATTTCCAGCACCCACATGGTGGCTCATAGCCACCTGTAATGAGATCTGGCATCCTCTTCTGTGTACATAATAAATAAATAAATTAAAAAAAAAGAAAAGAAAAATGCCAGACATCTGAGGAACCCTAGAACCCAGTAGAAAGGTGGACACCAAAGTGAACACATGGAAATGATCTCACTTAATGTTCCCAATAGTCTCCTAAGCATCTCCCTTTTCCAGGGGAAGAAGCTAAGGCATAACATTTTACTATGTTTTCTGCTTACGTCTTTTCTGGTGCAGGAGCCCACATGGTAGCCCTCTTTGGTCTCTTCCAAACTGTGTCAGGGTGATACTAATGTGACCTATAAATCTTTTCATTTTCAGTCACGGTTTCCATGGCCCCTATTACTTCCTCAGTGACTAGAATAATAAGGTTAAAGTTTTTGACCTTTTGTCCTTGGCTCCAGAACAGCTTCAAAACAGCTTCTGAGTGATAAAGTCAAGAGACATCATTTGTTATAATGTTGGGTACTTTCAGCCTGAGAAAGCAATCTCTCTGACCCTTGCTTACCTTCTTTTAACTGCTCCTTTTTCCTCTCTGAGGCAGGCCACAGAAACTAGAATTTATCTTCAAGGCCAGTCCAAAAAACTATATACACAACAACTTTGTCTTTTTGTATTGGAGCTGGCCATAAAGCAATTCTCTGACCTTGTTATGTGATAGTATACTGTAAGACACTTAATTTCAGATGGTGGTCATACTCCACACCTACAGGAACACTACAGAAAGCCCAGGAAGAATCTGAACAGAGAGCCTTGTTGAGTTTCTCTAGTCTATCAAACTCTTGTCTAATGCCATTTCCACAAGTTGTCCATACTTCCATCTTATCTACATAATAAAATCTCCATACAAATTTAAAGGACAGGGTCTGGAGAACTTCTGGACATTAAACACTGGAGGCTTATAGGAAGGGCAGCAAAACTCCAAATCCTTGCTGGGATGGTGGTGTATCCTAACTCTTTAGAAACAGAGCTCTATCTAGGGACCTTGCTCTATCTCCTGATCAGTCTGCTGATCTGGAGCTTTACAACAATCTTTGTAATAAATCTTAAGTGTAAGCATTTCTCTGAGTTCTGAGAACTTAAAGAGTCAACTAAGCCTAATGATCAGGTCATGAAAATCCCAGTTTGCAGTTCAAGAGAAAGATGTTCCAGAGGCCTTCAACCTGTAGAATCTGACACTCTCCAGACAGGTGGTGTCAAACTGAATTGACTTAAAGTATGTGAAATGATGACAACTGCAGAATTGAATGCCTGGCTTGCTAGTAGGAAGAGATCCACATGTTCAGGGGCCATGGGAGTAGCCAGTGCTTTGAGCAATCAATGAGAGGGCTTGAGGCTGAAGCTTTTCCTTCTAACCCAGAGAGTGTTTCTCAGTATTTTTTTGGTTGTGAGCTCAGCCTTTAACAGCTGAGCCATCTCTCCAGCCCACTAGCAAGCACTATTACCAGAGTGTTGGGATTAAAGGTGTGCGCCACCAACGCCCAACTTACATAACTCTTAATACTGTTTTGTTGGTGTTCAGTGAAATAAACTTTGGACTGAGAAATATGATCGTATACTTACGACTTTTTTTTTTTTTTTTTTTTTTTTGGTTTTTCGAGACAGGGTTTCTCTGTGTAGCTTTGCACCTTTCCTGGAACTCACTTGTTAGCCCAGGCTGGCCTCGAACTCACAGAGATCCGCCTGCCTCTGCCTCCTGAGTGCTGGGATTAAAGGCGTGTGCTACCACCGCCCGGCTTACTTACGACTTTTTAAACAAACTATAAAATCTTTAAAGTATGTGAAATTATATTAATGCACTTTCTTTCATATGCTCAAACATAAAATGAGCTCACCATTTATCTAACACCGTTTAATCTAACTGTGACCAGGAAAGTGAGTGCAGGGGCCCTGTGGAGCTAGACATAGGGCATGAAGGAGTCAGGAAACCTATTTTACTCAGAACCAACATGACACAAATCAGGTCATGAACATTATCACCCATCATCAGAATTTTGCTCCCCACACAATAAGTGCACCTGTTTATAAGCATAGTCATTTTTCATATTTATGTGCATAACATACTTCTTACCTTTCCAGACCCGAATACTGCCTCTTGGGCATATCTGATGAGACATTCTTTACAAAACAAGTGAGCATCGGCGCACTGTGTCAGCTCCTCAAATGGAAACTCCCCATAGCAGCAGCGACACTCAATCAGCTGTCCATCCTGCAAGCCAAAGAAGATACATGTAAACTCCCCTGTACCCCATTCAAGAACTGAGGCTTCATCTACAGCCCTATATACTTCCATGCACCAGACACACAATGAGGTCAAAACTGACTCTTGGGAGACACCAAATAACAACAAACTTTTTTTTTTTGCTATCTAAACCTGGATCAGAAGCTGGATATCATAACAATGTATGTGTAATGACCATACTTAGGACACTGAGAAACTCAAGTTTTGAGGCCAACCAGGCTCTTTTTACAGTCCAAGTCTTTTATTTCTTTTTGTACATTAGGCCATGAATTCATATGAAATGGGCTCCAGCAGTTCAGGCTCCTTCCCATTAGTCCTCACAAAGTGTGTGTCTCTGGGTGGAGCAAGCTGGCACTTCAGCTGAACCCAAGTGCCCTTCTCTTTGGCTTCCTTTTTCTTTTGGTCGTTTTCCTTCACCCACTTCAGGAAGCTATCTTGGCTCTTAGAGTGCTTGATGTGCTCAATACGCACATTATTTCTCTTGGCAAGAATCTTGCCCTTGACTTGCTTGTTTACAATGATACCCATGGCATGCTGGGTAAACTCTTCTGGTTTCGCCATGGTAACACTTACAAGGCATTCCTTTTTGAACAGTGCCCATTCCCTTGATGTCTACAGTATCACCCTTCTTATAGATTCGCATTAAGTGGCCAAAGGAACAACTCCATGTTTCCTCAAAAAACATATAGCGAGTGCCCCTCCTCTTTCCCTTTCTGTTTGTACTGAAAGATGGCTGCCATGGCCATGAGCCCAAGAAGCTTTCTAAAGCTGGATTTGTTCCTCTTGTCAAAGACAGGAGTGTAAAGACACCATAAGCCAGCCCTTGCTTGTGGTTAAGAGACTGAGGAAAACAAAGTTGCATGCAATGTCAGTGCTCACCGAGACAGATCCAGTCAGCAGCCTGCTTTCAGACATGCTCGAAAGTCACTAAGCAAGTTGTCAGATACGGCACAGAAACCCCTGGCCCATGGCTACACACAGGGAATCTGAGTGTAGGAATGCAGAACAGTCCCTTCTAGTAACTGCCTAGTGAATTTCTGGTCATGCTCTTTAAGAATGAACGTTATCTATCTCCCCTTTCAGTTCTGTTTTGGTCTTGTATGAAGATATGTAACACTTGAGTGAATTGCAAACTGACAAGTCAATAGGTTACATAGTAAAAGTTTGCTTTCAAAAGCCCAACAAGTATACCCAGAATAAATGAACTTGGTGAGATTTCAAAATACCTTTTGATATTGTTCTTCATTCATCTGCAGGGCAAGCAAAAAGTCTTCATGCTGAAGAACAAAAGAATCAAACATTCAGATACAAATGTAGAAAGATCATAAGCCATTAGCATGGATTTCAATTTATGTACATTATTAACAGTTAACATGGTTTAGTAGTTGAAAAAGCTACCAAAGGATAATCTGCAGAGTAAATAAGGGAACAAACACAAAACATTCTGGAATAGCAAAGAACAACATAAGCTATACAAAGCTAAATGGACCAAAACCAAGTTTGATAACACAATTTGCTGGTGAAGTTGGGAAGCCATCAGCACTCATATTGCTGCTGAAGATGTAAAATGGCTGCCTATGAAGGAGGCATGTGGTATTAACTCAACAGTGAAAAAAATCTTTGTTTTTTGAGATAGAATCTCTCTATTTGGTCTTGGCATTGTTGACCTAAAACTCACTATGTAAACCAAGGCTGGACTCAAACTCATAAAGATCAGCCTGTCTCCTTCCCACACCTTGAGTGCTGGGATTAAAGGCATGAACCACCATGCCTGACCAAAACTTTTATTCTGAGACAGAGGCTCACTATATAGCCCTGGCTGGCCTAGAACTTTCTATGTAAATCGAACTCATGGAGATATGCATGCCCTTGCCTTTCAAGTGCTGGGATTACAGTTGTGTGCCACTTTGTTTAGCTATCAAAGTCATGTTCAGAAATCTCTGTCCCCAAGATGCCCTAAAGCATAAATCTGAACTGATGTATGTATAAACTTAGTTACAAACAGTAAAACCCTGGAAACAAGCCTGGACCTTAATCAGACAATGTTATAGCAGGTAGTTTTAAAAAGCAAAGAGGAAGACCTCTGTGGATGACTGTTACATGGTTGCTAGTATGCTCTAAGTGAAACAGCAGAAGCTGAAGAGTATTTCCCTGAGAAATGTCTTGATAATGCTCTACATGTGTCAGAGGACAACTTTGTGAAGCCAGTTCTCTCCATACATCTTCACATGGGAAGTCAAACACTTTGATCAGCAAGTGTCTTTACTCACTGGGCCATCTTGCTAGCCTTATTTCCTTTTTAAAAATAATTTATTTCAGAGGAGGGAGGGGAAACTATGGTTGGTATGTTAAATAAAAAAATTTTTAATTAAAAAATAGGGCAGAGCCGGGCGGTGGTGGCACATGCCTTTAATCCCAGCACTCGGGAGGCAGAGGCAGGCG